TTTGATAGTGTTGAGTCAAGAACTTGTTCGGCTATTCATAAGGACTGTAGCAAGAAAGACATGCTGGCTGTCAAACTGCAAAATGCGACCAGATAAAGTAGGACATACTGCTATTGTTGCATACTGCATTTAACATATTGTATTAGGACATACTACATACTTTTGGCCTACTAAATGGTAGTATGGGTATTGGAACGTGCCCCACGAGTCTCCCATTTAGACGCTGTTAAACCATTATATTCTAAACTTTGATTTGATATCCAAGCCATGAATAAACATTCTGACCGACACCCACAGGGGTGATTCTATTATGTTTGGTTGGTTGGATGTCCTCTCAGCACTGTGTGGGTTTGTAAAAATCGGTCCTTGATTGATACCTCCTCCCTCTTGTGTTTGATTGGTTGCACATCTTAGTGTCGGAAAAAGGAGCTTCTTTATTGTCTTATTAATACAAAGAGTTTGCTGACGTAATTCCCAGCTTCACTCAACCCAGAAACAAAATCAGTGTGAAGTGAAAGCACCAGTTAATGTCACCTCATTGTTTGTTTTTGCTAGTCAAAACTACTGGAATGTGTTTATTTGTAATTGCAATATGTTTACTAGCCTCAGGGCACATATTTGTGGATACCAAAATACATGACCTGTCATCAATGGTAGCTGTTTCCCTGGTCAAATGGTTCCTTATTGGTATAATAACCTTAGAGCAGTTTTGCAAAAGCGGATTGCAATGTTGCACAATCATTTGAACGAATAACAACAACAAAATTCAGGTTTTGCACATTGGAAATGTTGTAGGAATATAGTTTGATGAGTTAGGTAGTGAAAAACAAAAAACAATACATAAGGAGAGGCAGATGTAAGTGCACTTTAATGTGTTGTTCTGTTTTATTCCCTTAAGCTGTGAAATGTTTCTGAAATGTCAGTTATTTCTCCGAGTATGTATTGTTAGAACTGATAAATATAAATCTTTCTTTTATCTTTTCCTCTCTTTCAAGTCACCAATTATCCGCCCTCCTTTGAACGCATGAAGGGATTTTGATTCCTGACAAACTAACTTTTCATTATTAGGGCAGATTCCTTTTTTTCCCTGCTGCTGCTTTTTTGCATTTATTATCTGAATACAGACTCTGCTCTAGCCTGCAACGCTCCTCTCTTGCACTCAACCACACATCTGCCATCCCATGACGACTAAACCTTCATTGACCGTCATCTGTCACTCTTTCCGCGCTAAATCCGAGGAATTTTCCACCCCCCACCTAGCATTTCCCTCCTTCATCTTTGTCCTATTGTCTTGTCCTCTTCATCTAATATCTTCGCTCCCTCCCTCCTCACACCTCTCCCCTGTCATCCCTCTTAACCCCATCTGCCTTTCCACCATCTATCCCCGGAGATCTTAGCCCTTTTTGTTCCCCTCTACTCTCTGTCTCTGCCTCCTTTCCTCATTCACTGTGCACTGTGAGTGGAACACAGATTATGTCAGACATGTATAAAACCGGATTAGCTAGGATCACCTTCACACACACACACACACACACACACACACACACACACACACACACACACACACACACACACACACACACACACACACACAAATCACCCCGTACATCCCTATTCAAACTCAAATGTTTTGCTGTGTATGTCCTAAAGTATGTGCATAGCCCTTTTTAGAAGCTTCTGGAGCAATTAAAAATACTTTTCTCCCACTGTCGGACGAATAAAGGATTTCTGATTTAAAAAGATCCAAACATTGCATAAGGATTTCAATACAATTCCTTTCCTTTTTCATTATGGCAATTCCACCAAGCACAAAGCAAAGTCCATACATAAATAATTTGTTTGGAATGTGGTGAGAAAAGTATGCACTTTCCTGCTCAGATCCCTTTAACTACATCCAACACCTTAGAGATGAACTGGAATGCACACTGGAAGCCAGGCCTCATCACCTGACATCAGTCTCAAACCTCACTAAGTGCTTTTGCGGCCGGATGGGATCAAATTTCTACAACAACATTTCTAAATCCAAAGTTGAGGCCAGGTTATGAGTGTGATGTTGAAATGTATTGCTCAACAATCACACGTGAATGTGAGGCATGGTCATCTACATAGTATTGGCTTCATATAAATAGATACACTGACACATGCAGCACAAAGATAGACACTATTTTAATCTTGCCCACACCACACATATTTTCCTAAACCCCAAACACAGCCCATGACACTAACGCTTCAGGACATATGATATTTATCAGCAGCTCTGACTCACACCTCAGCATCATGATTATCAAAATCACTGCATACTATCACACACGCAAAGGGCCTGTATGTCGCCTGGCCGAGTCCTCTGGGGACGTCTATATGCTTCAAGACATCAGCTTCCTGATAATGAGAATGACACAGCATTGTCTGCAAGAGCAGCATCCACACAGCCGATCACTTTGAATAACAATAAGCACCGGCTTTCCCTCAGTGTCATCTGTCTCTTCTTCTCTTTCTCTCATCCCCCTCACCCATCCCTCAAATTCTGACTCAGCAAAACTAGTCGGAGGCAAGGTCATCTGACTGCTGTTGCTGTGGAGACCGAGATTTGGGGGATTTTATTTTACCTCCCCCTTTTTTTCTGGTACTGCAAGGCAGGGTGGCGTGTGATGGGGGGCAGGAAGGAGTGAGAAACATGAAGGTGTGTCGGAGGTTAAAAAAGGGATACTACTGGCAGCCATTTTGGTTGAAATGAGATTGAATGTAACTTTATTAGCAGCAGCACGATAACAATGTCACCCTCATGGGTAGCACTGTGGGCTTCGGGATCAAATTCTGTCTGTTAATCCTCACAGTTTCCTGAATGGTTCAAATGTCTCAACACTTCCCAGTGTGCCAGGGTTTTATGAAGCTATAAATACATATGTTATAAAGATATGAATTGGCAGCCACAGGGAAATAGACATACTGTAGACATTTATGTGGGCGAATAATAGAAACAAGAGGCTATAAAGCTAAATATATTCCATCCATCAATTCAAATCAAATGATTGAAATGATATTGAATTTTTTTGGAGTCAATGTTATTTTCTTTATCTCATGTAAAGCATGATTTACCCTAACACCAATGGTCACTTTATATGGGGGGTTGGTCCACCTAACTTTAAAATAAATCAATTTTTTTAGATCCTTGAATTAATTTGGAAATAGTCTGCACATGTGGAATTCTTCAGCTGTATAGGATTCTTTTACAACAACGTATTATATGATAAAATAGGTCTAACAATACAGTATATGCAGAATATTCATGTTCCTTTATTAGAAATGTCTACCTACTGCTAACTGTATCCAGTTGCCAGCCATTCATAAAAGCTTTACAAAATGGTTCTTTAGAAACCAGACCTGGGTATACAGTGATGAAAGTGGAAATGTGTCAAAATGCGCTTTCACTTCCTGTTATTGCAAGCCATGGTGGGGAACATATTTGAAACCACCAATCTGGTAGTTCAACAAAGTAACAGAACATTAAATAAAAACATGATTACTCACTGCTTAATTGAATTGGGGGGATATTTGTAAGTCATCTCCACTTTAGCAGCACATTTGATGAAGTTTCTGGCTGACTGTCCTCTAACCCTGAGCTCACACTGTTCTGATGCGTTGGTTCACGGTGCTGCCCATCGTCTGGGCCTGCAGCAAGGAAGCCAGTGAGGCATGGCAACAATCTGCTGCGGGGACGGGAAGCGTGACTCTCAGCTTTCCCTTGCAAATCAGGCATGGGTTAGTGTGCATAAATGTGTGTGTATTTGTTAGTGTGCATATGCAACCCAGTGACTCTGAGCGTGTGCTCTCACTGCTGCATCGTCCCCTCTGTGTAGTGCACGAAGGAAAAACGTGACCAAGGGCCTGTAATGGCAAAGCACTGCTGCATATGGGGCACCCTCCTCTTGTATTCCCTCTGACTCTTTTATGCTTTGGATTTATGTAGCATTGTTACAGAAAATGCACAATCCTACCTGTTCTCATCTTTTGTAAGTCATTACCCTTGGTATGCCTCCCTCTCAGTCTATTTTCTATCATTTCCTCCCCCCTGTCTCTCTGAATACTTGTCGAGTGTTTAAGGAATGTAGTCTGATTTGTTCTAAAAGTTTGTTCTTGCTGTGTGGTACTTACTGCTGTCCCACATGTCAACGGTAGACACAAGTCTTTACGACTGCCATCATAAAATGTCAAGTAGCTCCAAAGACAAAATGCCAGGTTGAAGTCTTTGCTTTCACTGAGGTACGCCCATATCAGTATTTTGCCTTTGCCACAAGTCTCTCCACATCAGCTAAGCTGCTGACTCTGCATCTTTAAAACTGTACAACTGCTGATGCACGGCTGTCAGGTTGCAGGTTGTCTGCAGCCCATAATGCCCCTGATGTGCAGTAATACATTAATAACCGAACTGTAGACAAGGATCACATTTGATTCTGATTTAGAAAATAGTTGTTATCTGCATGTCTCTCACACACACACACACACACACACACACACACACACACACACACACACAAACACACTCTGTGACTACACAGTTATGTGGTCTTTCTGCTGCACCAAGGCCTACTATATGAAGGTGCACAACATGCTCATGACAGGCCTGCTAAGACATCCAAGGGTGCTTATCCCATGCACTAATGCACACAAATCCACTATGTGTATCTTACATAAGTACATTTCATGATGAACAAACACAATCACGACAACTAGAGTCTAACCTTGTGCGTCCATTTTTAAAACATTTCAGCCTAGAGATTCGCGATGCTGCTGGATGCAAGCCTCGGAATTCTGCAGTAAAGCAGGAGGGGCAGACTGGCTGTTCTATTGGTCGGTTTAATAGGCTGACATGACACCGATTGGTCAGCAAACCCATCATAGAATGCACGGTCAGGCTTGTGATTGGCCAGCTGCATGACAAATGGGCGGGTCTTAGCCCCCCTCAGTACTGTCTTTAGGCGGAGCTTTTTGCATTGGCGGAGTGGTGCGGCTCTAGAGGAGTACTGCGGTAACCGGGACTTTCGCGGAGGGAGATCAAGTGCTGAAAAGGTAGCTCTGCGTCTCTTCCTTTTTGCCGGTCTTTCACCGCAAGTATCAGAGAGCAAAGGAAGGAAGCGCACCCCGCGTGATGCTCCGCTTGAGACCGCAGCATTTCATTTGAAAGACGTCTCACAGGGAAACAGAATAGCCGAACCCTTTTGGAAGGTTTGACAACGTTTTGATTTAAAAAAGCATTTTGTCAGATCAACTGCCATGACGTCGTTCTCATTTTTCATTTAAGCCACCCTGAAAACTGAGCATATTCTCTTTCATATTTTTCAAGGCAAGGCATTTTGATATTCAACGCGAGGGGCTGACACCTCTCAAGCTGTGCATCACCTGAGAGGAGAAGAGTGACTGCGCCAACATGGGGGTAAGACTGACGATTTCCACTTTATAACTGCGTTGTAGCCCCCCTGAAGTGGCCTGAGAAAATAGCCTTAAAATGTTACTCCTGTCGAGGAAGGGCTGAAGTGATGTCATTTTTTCCCTCTATGGAAATCCCGTTTGCCTGAATGACATTGACTGTAATGCGGAACTCTGTTTTAGCCTGGTCTCCTAGACTGCGACAAATTGATGTAGCCAGTAGCTCCTCTGTGGTGCCGCTATATGAAGCAGAGATATAACACCGATCTCCGTGATGAATTCTGCCTGCTTTTGACTTGAATTACTGTTGAATAGAAATAATAATATTATATTTGCTGGTGCCTTTCTCTCTTATTCGCTCGGTCAATTCATTGGCACCGATATAAATACGAACGATGCCAAGGTGTCACTTGTGTGGTTTAGAGGTTATCCTATGTATTCCAGGTCTATGATGGGCCCTACTGTCACTATAACCTTGCGAGCCATGCTAGGCCTAATCGGTTTATTCTTACCGAGAGCTCTAGTGGGTGGGGAGGAGGGGGGGATATGAAGGGTGGGGGTAGGGTGTACCTGTTAGAAACCCATTCTCGTCACCCCTCATTTAGCTGTGGTTTATTTTCTATTTGAACATTTTGTTGCATTTGAAGGCACATATTTTATGACATTGTCAGATGAACACGATGTACTGTGACCTCCTCCATGCCCGCGCATCCTCCCCCCCTGTCCTCGCCCTTATGTGCTCCCCTTGCTGTATATCCCGTTGGCACTGCCCTCTCCGGACCGGTCAACCGAGTAGAAGCATCCGGTGGTGGAGCAGGAGAGATGCTGACCGGTGGACGCCATCAGTTTCATCCCGGGCACCCTCGATGGCCCATGCGTCATAATGCGGTTACTGGGAATAAGCGCCTCGCCAGTTTATTTCCCCCGTTTAATTTGTGACGTAACAGCTACTCGATAATCGCTAACAGTGATCACATTTACAACCGATTACATTCAAGATGCGAATAGTACAACGTTATATTTGACAGTAATTTCACCCGCTTTGCGCAGTTTAAAAAAAAACCCATCTGTTTCTTGTTATCTTGTATTAGTCATGCACATGGTATTAGAGGAAGCTGGTGGAAAAAACCCGCGTTCCCGGAAAATGCCAAGGCGTTGATATGAGTGTAATTGTGAGATATTGCGCAATGTCCCCCCCTCTGTATCATGCAGAGAGGAGTTGTCATTTTTAATATTCGACTGCAGTATTAGTGCTGAAAAACGAGGAGCCGTGTTGCTGCAGGCAGGAGATGATGCGGCTCTGAGAGATATGCACCGCTGCAGAGGCAGAAGTCGATGTCGTTGCAGTTACACAAGCATCTGAAATGCCTCTGCCGGTAGAGATGTAGCCCGTGATGCTGGGGGAAGCTAACCGGCACCATTAGTGGGCACTGCGTCAAATGGGATGGGAGTATTACGCATGAATCGCTGCTGTCAGGAATGTAGGGTGGGATTTGGGAAGATGCCGCAGCTCTCCGGAGATTGGCATTATAAAACAGAATACGAGCGTGCCTGGCGATCTGTGAAGGGTGTTTCCTTGACTTTCACTCGATGCCTGCTGAGGTCACCCTGAAACGGAAAGGGGATGGAGAGATGGATGGATTCGTGCTGCGAGTAAATGGATGCCACCAGTCACCGGTCAACACTTGCTTCTCGCTCTTTCTGTCATTTTCCCCCTAAATTTTGCATTGGTGCACTGTGCGATGGCATTGCCAGCTGTCCTTCCCCAAGGCCGCAGGGTGCATCAGTAGGACGTGCTTCCTGCGTCAAACTGTGGGCGGGGCCTGTGATGTGGAAATTCCCTGTAAAGAGCTGTGATAGGTTGGCATCGGGAGCAGCAGAGAGGACAGGGCTTAGAGACAGCAGTGATGCTATAGAGCAAAGCCTGGGCATGTGTCAGGCTTGCCAGAAAGACCATTTAATCTGGTAAAGGGATGAATCTCAATGTGGAAGATTATCTCTAAAGAAATGTCTTTTCAGTCACACACCTGCCCACCTCGATCATTGTTCTGCATTGGTGCAGCTATACAAGGCGGATGCTGATGAGACTATAGGGGGAGATTTTCACCTTCAGACACGTGACACTGGTGGGGGAGGGTGGCAGTGCTGAGAGAGCGAGAGGGAGGGAGGGAGGAAGAGCAGCTCAGTAGTGGCTGGTCTGCAGGTGTAGAGTGAGAATGAGAGAGGGATTTAAAATGATGGTGGAGGCGTAGGGTGGGGGAGGGCTGCCTGCCGGTCGGTATATCTTGTTACAGGATAATGACCTGAGGCTCACATTACTCTGGCTCCTGTTTCCTCTTGCTGCACATGTAGGATTGGTTATCAGGAGGAGACAGATGGGATAGGGAGAACAGAGATGTGGTTGGGTGGATGATCTTCATAGGACATTGCCTGAAGGTTGAGCATGGTGGAGAGAAGAGGTTAGAGAGGTTTAACACTAGTGGGCAGGTATTAAAGATGGATGAAGGTGCAGTAGCAGCCCCGAGACAGAAGGTCACGCAGGCTGGTGAGCAGGGGTGTGGTTGACCTGCTTGGAAGGCATTGTAGTGAGGAGAACCTGCCGAGGGCTTGATTGATTCTCTGATTACCTGACATGATGTAAATGTTTCTAGAACAGTCAGTGAGGCATGTGAGAGGATGGAGAAGGATGTACGGTGTTGGTGTAAGACGGTTCAGGAGTTGGATCTCTGCAGAGGCCCAGCCCTCAGTTTGGTGCAGAGGACTGCACATCCCTCCCCACTGCACCTGGTGCCTGATAGGCTGCACTGATCTGTCCTACATGTCGCACGGACCAATAGTAAAGCACGTCCATATAGGATCTGATCAACCGCATGATCTCCCTGACCGCAAAGCCTGCTGGGATATCTTTGCCCTGCGGCCTAGGTCAATTAAGGTCAATATGGTGACCTTTGAAACATCCTCTATTGTCCCCTTCAAGCCTCTTGTAGGTCTCTGATCAATAATATCTGCTGTAATGAGTGCAGTGTCCTCAGTGAGAGTCCTGCTGAAGGACAGAGTCCAGACTTCTCTTGTGCCTCAGCAGAAAATCAGGAGCTAGCCAGCCTGAGCTGTGAGCTCAATACAGCTTGTGTAATGCTAATAAAATGTAAAGGTCAGCACTGTCTCTTCATACATTACTTTAGAACAGATAACCGTAGGCACAGTGACAGTTTTCCAACATTAACGTGTTACTGGTCTCCCATAATTAATGCATTTCAAGGGATTAGGTTGCCTGACTACAACGACATGACTAATTCAGGGTGTTGTCCTGGAGATGTGTGTGTGTGCTTGTGAAGAGTGTGTGTCCCTGTGTGAATACACCAAAGCCCAGCGTGTAACAATGGGCAGCCACAATGGACAAAGGCTTTTAAAAATAAAAAACAGATCATTTTACAACAAGTTGGAACATTTGCTTTGGGTGTTGCAATTCAGCAATTCAGCAGAGAAGATTAAATATCTTCCAAGTATCACAGTCATTTTCTTTCTGAGTAGTGAATTGTTTTCCTTTCCTTCAGATATACTAAATACAACTATCCTGGTTTGGAATCACAAAGGGACACATGCTAAATGTTAATGGGTATTTATTCTAGTTGTTTGTAGATGTTTGTATGTGCGTGCGTACGTGCACATCTGGATATATCCGTGCAACCAGATGCTTGCTCAGGCAAGGTTTATTTATACAGCACCTTTCAGCACACGGCAACCCAAAGTGCTTTACAAAAGAAGATAAAAGACATTTAAGAACAGGCATTTAAGATGATAAAATCACCACAACCGGTATATAATACGTGGATAAAAAGCCGTACTGCAGTTTGAATTTGAACAACTCATCCAAATGCAGGAGTCCTAGGTGCCCCCACTCACACCATGGCCAGATGCCATCTTCACTACAAGCATCAAAGAACCAAGATTTACAGCACCAATATAGACCAGGCCCCATTCGAAGACACATCTAACCCTCAAGAGACGACAGTGCATTGTAAAGAACTAAAGACACAGTTACAAAATGGTTGGGTGACAGATGGACAGAAGTGATCCGAGGGGAGAGGGGCAGCAAGTGGAAGGACTTCTGTTAAATGTGAGGTCTGGGTTGATCACGATGAGAGCTAAAGAGAGTTAATCTCCTTCGTCCCTATATGTTTATGTGGTTCAGAGATTAAGAATTTACGTTAGTGCTCTTGAGCGGCCACCATCTTTTCATTTCTCTCTTTACCATTCAATCGGATTAATACTCTACGCGTACATGTTTTAACTTTAACTGCCCCGTCCCCTGGAACCACACAAATCTTCATCTGTTCCCTTTCGTCTCCATGTTGGATATCTGGCATCTCCTCCTTTTGATATCTGATCACTTCAACAGATAAGAAAGCTACCTATCACGTCTCTTACAGATAAGTGAAACAAATATCTTAACAGTTTCTTTTACAACGAATTCAAATCCTTATCGTCTGGTAAAAGTAACAATCTAATCTATTTGCTTAGTCAGTACTTTTAGATTGCATTTACACATTGGATTTCCCTGAGAGAGGATTGCAGAGAAAGAAGAGTGATAGAGAGACAAAGAGAGGGGGGGTCACATGGGCTAATCCACTGTAGTAATCAGACTAGCTAATCCCAACAGCAATGTCCATCGGTCCACAGCCTGACCCCCCCCCAATACTGCCCCCCCGCCCCGCCCCGCCTGCCATCCTGCTGCAAGAAACAGCAGATGGCCCAATAACCTTGCAATGTCACACACACACACACACACACACACATGCATCAGTATGTCTACAGATGCAGAAGTTAAACACTCAAACACTTTTCATAACGGCTCTCACAAAGATCGTTTTTATTTCCCCCCTTTATTCAATAATCCATGTTAGAAATGATATTTTCATGAATTGACTCTTAAGAAGGCTTTGTTATTTAAAACCATCCTGCAAAACACAGCCATTCAACTGTCTCACCCAACTACTACACGATTGCAAAAGAAGATGACATGGATTAGACCCAAATATCCATCTAATGTTAACCGTAAAGACAGGTAGGAATAGATGTTTATATTAATACAACATCCGCTCAGAAGTGAAGACACTAATGTGTGTTCTTTGATGTAAGCCTGTTTTAGCAGTACATTTTACAGCCATGGTCATCGTGGAAAACAGGTAATAAGGCCATGATGTACAAAGAGGAAGTGTTCGTTGTGACGTGTTTTGTGGTCGTTACTAATGGTAAAATAGCTCACGTTTTCCATTCACAAACCACTTCCTTATATTAGTTCCACATGAAGAAAAACAAACGTTTATGAAAGAAAACGACATGCCGGTCCCAGTGGATCCCACCATCAGTGGGCATGCCTCGACCCGTAGTTCTGGAACGATCCTCAGGTGCTACTCCTACAGTTATTTTAACATGACATCTACTGGTAGATTATTATCACACATTCTCAGTCTGCCGAAATGAAGCAACGTTGTAGTTTTGAACATAGCCAGCTGTTTTTCTTTTGAGAAATGCAGTGTTAACATAGAGAGGCAGTTACAGCCTTTACTCACTGGATGTTTCAAGTTAAGTCTTACTTGTTTTTTGATATCTTTTTTTAACCTCTCTCTCTCTCTCTTTCACCTTCTCCATTTTTCTGCCGCAATGCGTGTAGATGCTGCTCATACGGACTGTAGCCAACACAGTGACTCACCTCTGCTCACACACACACACACACACACACACACACACACACACACACACACACAAGCATCTACCAATTCCTCGAATGAATTGTCTATATGACACAGCAGTGAATACGGTGTCCAGTAACAGATGCATACATTATTCCTTGTCTCGGATCACATCAGGGGATCCTAGCGAGGAGTGCCTAGCCACTGCTGAGCTTCGTCACCATGGCAATGGCGGTCCCCATGGTTACTTTCCCTCCATACACACGCACTAATCAGAGCAACTTTATGTTTGGATAGCCATAGCAGCATAATTTACAATCAACACACAAACAAACACACCACCGGATATGTGAGGCAAAGGCTGTATGGATTTATTGATATTTTAAGCAGATTTGAATAAGCCAATATGTAACCGGGTGTGGGTGGTTGCACTCCGAGGACAGAGGAGCATCCATTTCCTGAGGATTGTCAGAGACGTGTCAGTCATCATCAGTCTGTTGGTCTGTGTGCCTGTGGGAGATCGGGCGTCTGTAATTCCAGCCACGAGTCTCTGTTTCCTTCCTCAGAACCTCGGGGGGTTCATTACATTACCCAGAATACTGTGGGACAGCTGGACACCCACAGACAGGGAGGCACACTCTGTTATTTCCTGCAAATGAAAGGAGACTCAATTTGTACACAAAATTGCCTCCATCTTTTCTACACTGTATAATGAAATAATCACGGTGGAGATGACAGAGAAAGATATATAGACAGACCAGTAAAAACCAACGACGTACAGTTTAAAGCCTTTTACTTGTTTGTTTCTTTAAGAATAGCAACATATTTGAGGTCAGACACATCTTATCAGGGTGTGTGTGGAGCGGGGGAAGGACACACTCACATGCACAAAGCCAGCAGTGCACTTAACATTCTGTAAACTGAAGATACATCTCTCCTCTCTCTGAGTCATGCTGATAACTCCTCAGTCCCAAATGCACACTCACTCAACAATGTAATCAGTTAGCATATGCAAACACAAGTGACACACACACATTACATCACATGTCATTTGTTAGACGCTTTTATCCAAAGCGACTTACAGCGTTCAGTACTTACTGTGTGTGGGTAATCCGCACAGGAGCAATTTGGGGTGAAGTGTCTCAGGGACACAACGACATGCTGACTGCAGAGAGACTCGAACTTGCTATCCCCTGATTCAAAGTCTAGCACACTACCCACTGAGCCACAGCCTACACACATACCATAAGAAAGGTTTCGCAATCTATTAGAGTGGGGTCACTGTGGGTCAAACGCTGACACAGAGCCAGCAGACAAAGACTGCTGGTCATAACCTAATTAGAGGCATGAGAGAAGGGTGACAACGGCTCTCCTCCCTCTCTCTCTCTCTCTCTCTCTCTCTCTCTCTCTCTCTCTCTCTCTCTCTCTCTCTCTCTTTCTCTCTCCACCTGTTTATCTGTCCCTGCTTCTCACCTCCCACTGATGTCTCCCTTTCCATGTGCCCAAGCGTGTCTCTCATCCACCGCCTTCGCATCCAATCTCTCCACGTCCTCACTTTTCACCACATAACACTTTGTTAAGCACTCCTGCCAACCATTTTTAAGTGTCGAGGCATATGTGTGGTTTGCGATAGGGAGATAAACACCAGAGTGTGTGTTCATACTATCAGTTTCAGGGATCTGAGGAAAGCAGGTGCGCCATGAGCGGACAATGCTCCCTAAATGCGTATTTGAGCGTTCCTCATCTACTAGACACAACATCGTTTTAAACCAATGAAGCGTAATTTACACACCTGGCCGACCGTCTGTCATCTGATAGATTACGTTGCCGTTTTGACACCTGATTACTTAGTTGGCAAATCGGTAACGGTCCCGATTGTTCAACATCTCTTTTCATCTCTAAATGGAGGCGCCATGAATACATATAATACATGCACTCTCTTTCTCACCCACACACACATCCAGGGTGGGTCTCAGAGGGGATGAGCAGCAGTGTTTTTCCACTGCATCAGTTCTGCAGCCTTCCTCTCCTCAGGCCTGCCTGGTCTTGCTGCAGCAGGAGATTTGCTCACCTGCTGCTTTGTTGCAGGGCTCTGTGTTTGCATGTGGGTGTGTGCACTTGAAGTCAAGTCAAACAGCTCCTTCCCACACTGACATGTTGCTCTATGCCTGACATGCTGCAACAAATGGCTTTATTGTTTGCTTTAAATTCAGTGGCGGTTGTTGAGCAGCCCGCATTTCTCTACAGTTAGAGCGAGTGAGAGTTGTCCTCCGCATGTTGTTTCATGAAGGATGTTTCACCAGAGAAACCAGAAAGACAGGTCCTTGTTTCAACATACAGATTCAAAGTGCAGGGGCAAGATTTCACAAGTGGGACATGCATAGCTTCTTGGTGACATTTGTCACACTGCAGGTGTGTGTGTTTTGGTGTGTGAGATTTTCGATCTCAACTCATGCTTCCTCGCTGGTGCTTCAAATCTGAGAGGAGAATTCCAATAATTGTTTTTAAAGTAAACATATGTTTTAAGCATCATGTCAAAGGATGGATTAAACATGGCAAACAATCTGGTCCAGCAGCAGTTATCTGTGTATGCTGCACTCCTCATGATGTTACCGCCTGATCCTACCACTAGAGGGTGCTGACTTTATTTCAGTCAATTTCAGCACACAGTAGTTTTCTGATATCCTGTGAAGCGCCACGCAGTCAATACCTCTTAGCTCATTTCCTTTTCTTTGGACATACACATACCTTAGTTAGGAGGATTGTTATAGATGATCCGATGATAGGTATTGATGTTTCTGTCTTATTTAGAGTATATGATGTGGCGTCTGTATCAGCTGGACTTTGCTACTTCATCCAACCATCAGTGTATATCTGAATGTATTGATCATGGGCAGTTTCCTTTGTGACCTTTGTCCGTGCAGGGCCTGACCTATAGGACCCGCTCACACCTCCTGGGAGGGATTGTCGCTTCTCCTTGTCACCTCTGACCTCTGTTGAGGAACATTTGTAATGATGAGGCTCTGCAGTCAAGCTGCTCTCCTTCCGGACTCAGGCTAGAGTTACACTTACAGACCTAAAGGGACTAGAACGTGCAGTGCCAAGGACAATCGGGGCTATTAATAGTCCACTCAAGTCCAGTTTAACAAGATAAGCCGATTTCTGAGGCGTCAATTATAGTAAGGAGAGTACCTAGAAACAGCAGGGCGAAGAACATCTGATGTGTCTGTCCGTGCAACATACTTAAGACATAAATTACTCCTAACCTAGACATCAAAGTGTCTGTGATGTGTAGAACATATTGGAATATATTTAGAAAGCCTTTGATGAGCATACACTCTCTGTGTCCTTGCATGTAGATACATGAAAGAACATAAGGGGATGAGTTCAAACATGACTGGTTAAACCCTTTGAACTTGTTTATGTTTTGAAGTGTACATCAGGCTGTTATAAGAGCGAGAATGATTTGATCAGTGGAGACATCAAATGGATGTGGCAGAGCAGGAAGGAGCCTTTCATGTATGGTCTTACTTAATGTAAATGTGTTGGTCCATGAAGAAACGACCAGGGTAACGCATTACCTTTCATGTCTTTAGTAATTAATTGGTTTGTATTGTAATGCTCTTCTTCAGCCTCCTCATAATAATTGACAAATACAGGCTACTTCACGAGGCCACTTCACAAGGTTACACAATCCTTTTCTGTGAAAGATAAACACCTTAAGGGTAATTCAATAAAGCCCGCTGTCTTTTTTTGAGACAGTATAGTTTTATTCTGTTAATACGATTTCCCATTATCCCATCACCCCAGTGACCAGCTAAGGTTATTCATAAAGGTGAAAGGCTACCCTCCCCTTAAACTAGTCCCAAGGCATGTTTGAAACATATGTGTATGTCTGTAGTATGGAAGGTCAGACAGTTACCGAGTTGCCACCACACAGGACAAAGATAAATCCCCCAAGAAGAAGAAGGGGGGCAAGGACATGGACGAGCTCAAGAAGGAGGTTCCTATTGTAAGTATAACCTTCTCTTATATGTAAATACTTGTGGAATTATATGTTGGCACAAAATGAGTTTGAGACCAATTCACTTTCGATCTTATCAATCAAAAAGTTGATTCATTTGGCATTTACAACTAATATAACAAATATTTATAAACACCCATGCATCCCCTTTTTGAGGATATAGTAAAGGAAAGTGAATTGATACCAACTGTGTTCGAGAAAAGGGAAATATTTCTCACGCAGGCCAGAAAAAAAAGTATTTTCACTGGTAAGAAGGGGTGACTTGTTACCTGGAGGTCGTCACTTCGATGCCAGCGCAAGAAACACCTGGGTCGGCTTATCTGGCTGCCCTGATACTCTTATCTCTCAGGTGAACTGCATGCATGGAGATAATTTACTCAAAGGAAAGAAGCTGCATATTAGCATAATTATTGTTTCAATTTGGACAATTTTCTACGACATGTCCTTGCATGCAAAACATTGCAATGACTTAACATAATGTCCTAGGCAAAGTATTAATTATCCCTTTTTTTGTTTTGTTATTCTTTTAGACGGAACATAAAATGTCTATAGAGGAGGTATGCAGGAAATTCCAGACTGACTGCGTCCAGGTGAGTTGACATTATCTATTCCTCGTAGCCATGATTTGAGAGCTGTTTTTTATTAGTTGACCACTGGGTGGTTCTTTATTACAGTGTTTGACTATTCTTCAGTCCTCTGAACTCCAATGTATTTGTCCATACTAAATAAATATAGGACTTGAACAAAGGTGTGTTTGTGTTGGCGCTGCATCAGAGCAGACCTGCTTTTCTCTGCTAGCTTCACACCTCACTTCCTGTGTTCTGCCTTCAGGGATTGACCAATGCCAAGGCAGCAGAGTATCTGATCAGGGATGGTCCCAATGCTCTCACCCCTCCTCCCACCACCCCGGAGTGGGTCAAGTTCTGTCGCCAGCTGTTTGGTGGATTCTCTGTCCTGCTGTGGACCGGCGCCATCCTCTGCTTCCTGGCCTACGCCATCCAGGCAGCCACTGAGGACGATCCTGCAGGAGACAATGTGAGCAAAGCATACACTCAAATATTCACATCTAGAGCGAAAAACCTCAGCATAACGACTTCAGCATCACATATTGTATCCAATACTCACATATGTTTGACTCTCTCTCTCTCTCTCTCTCTCTCTCTCTCTCTCTCTCTCTCTCTCTCTCTGCCTCTCTCTCTCTCTCTCTCTCTCTCTCTCTCTCTCTCTCTCTCTCTCCAGTTGTACCTAGGTATTGTGCTCACAGCTGTTGTCGTCATCACTGGATGTTTCTCATACTTTCAAGAGGCCAAGAGCTCCAAAATCATGGAGTCTTTCAAGAACATGGTGCCTCAGGTAAAGATGTGTTTTGCTCACTAGAGAGTGTGAAAGCTTAAGAGTGGGAGAGGCACACAACAAAGACAATTTAACTGATTATTTATTCATTTAAAGAATAACTTGTCAGTTAGTTTATAAGTGTAGGTGGGTGCAAAAGTGTGCAATGTTGTATGGTCTGTGTATATTTGTTCTAACCCTCGCTAATATCTCCCTGCAGCAAGCGTTGGTGATCCGTGAAGGCGAGAAGGTGCAGATCAACGCTGAGGAAGTGGTGGGTGGAGACCTGGTGGAGGTGAAGGGAGGAGACAGGATCCCTGCTGACATCAGGGTGGTCTCTGCTCACGGCTGCAAGGTACACACTCACTTAAACACAACTTCAAAAACAGTCACTTGCTAGATGTGAAGAAAAAGTTAAGATGTCATACTACTTTCAGACTCTTAACTTCACTCCTCAAATGACAGTTAGCATAAGATAAAGTCTCATTGCATTTAAACAAAACGTGTTTTAACGTGGGTAATCAACTGATGGAACTTTCATGTTGGTATCAATTAGTTCAATATTGTTACGCTATTCATCCGTCATATTAGCCCTAAAGAGATCTTGTTGCAACCAAATTTGCAAAATCATAATAAAATGATTTATGGAACTGCATCTCATATCATACGAACAAGTCAACAATTATTATCCGCCAGTTAATAACAGAAATGCATCACATTTTGTTAGATATTGTCCCTTTCATATAAACCACTAATTTATATTTAACATTCAACATACAGAATATAATAATCTTATTGGGTTTCTGATCTTTATTCTAAACGATGTCTTGTGAGACTGTTTGGGCTGGGCATATTATCTAGGCACGTTGCACATCCCAAAAGTCTTACTTCTTCTTGTTTGCAACTACACGCTTTCTCTCTCTCTCTGTTTCCAGGTGGATAACTCCTCCCTAACAGGAGAGTCAGAGCCTCAGAGCCGGTCACCTGACAATACCCATGACAACCCCCTCGAGACCCGAAACGTCGCTTTCTTCTCCACCAACTGTGTGGAAGGTATGGTCTCCACGGCGATAATATAACATGCTTAGATGCACGAGTGACTACGCTCTTCCATAAGTGGGTCAAAAAGGACCCCTATTAGAATAATGTGTTTTTATGCCATTTTTGTCATTTTGGTTAATAAAAATCACTTGTATAATATTTAGTGTTATATTTTGGATCACACTAGAAATATTTTATATTTAATTTTTCACTATTTATAATTTTAGACATTTTTTTAACATTTTGAAAACAAACGTTTTCCCATAGAAAATGCATGCGGGTCATTTTTGACCCACTTATTGAAGCTTGGGGTAGAAATACAAAAACTACAATTTCTTAAAATGTAAATACAACATTTGAATGGCACGATATCCAAAACATGTTTTTTGAGGAGTAGCTGGAATATGAAATGATAAAAAAAATGTAATTACAAAGATACTTCAAGAAAACCACCTCACCGGGTCCAAGAAGACCCACTTATGCATCTAAGGGTTACAAACTTTGTGTGCACATATGGTTTGAGTAGTGGTTCAAATATTCGATTGCATTAATCACATAAAAGAAACCTGCGATTAATCAAGACTGTCAACAAGTTTAAAGTTCTAGTATTTATTTTGCAAAACTAGTAAGAGAAATCAAAGGTTTTTACTTTATTAGAGTTCAGCTTAGTGTTAATGATTCTGGAATTAAATGTCTGTATATTTTCTGACACTTAACCAAAGCAAATGTGGTAGTGTCACTAATTTGATTGAACACGTTAAGGTTTCCAGCCCTAATCGTTTACTCCAAAATGTAGTATCTAACTGAGACATTGTTTAAAGGACACACTAACTGTTGCAGCGAATATATTTTACAATGTTGTGTCTCTGTTCTTTTTCCAAACCAGGCACAGCTCGTGGTATTGTTATCTGCACCGGTGACCACACAGTCATGGGTCGCATTGCCACTCTGACCTCTGGCCTGGAGACCGGAAAGACCCCCATCGCCAAAGAGATCGAGCATTTCATCCACATCATCACCGGCGTGGCTGTTTTCCTGGGCGTTACCTTCTTTATCCTGGCCATCGTCCTGGGTTACAGCTGGCTGGAGGCCGTCATCTTCCTCATCGGCATCATCGTGGCTAACGTGCCCGAAGGGCTGCTGGCTACTGTCACCGTGAGTGGAGGACAAAGAAAATACTGCATACGCCATTTATACTTCTTCTGTATTAAAGACTTTTGTTTCCTGTTGGACAAATATCATTTCCTTTATTTTATTATTATATTTTAGTTTGCTGATTGAAGTGCTTACTTTGTCTATATTGTTGTCTTCAATTATATAGACAAAGAAACAAAGAAAAATAATGTTTAAAATAATAATGTGTATGAGCGTGTGTTAATGTGATAAACGTTGTCTGACATCATGAATGTTTGCCTGCAGGTGTGTCTGACCCTGACTGCTAAGCGTATGGCGAAGAAGAACTGCCTGGTGAAGAATCTGGAAGCTGTGGAAACCCTCGGCTCCACCTCCACCATCTGCTCCGACAAGACAGGAACCCTGACCCAGAACAGGATGACCGTGGCCCACATGTGGTTCGACAACCAGATCCACGAGGCCGACACCACGGAGGACCAGTCTGGTGAGAGAGGACAGGGCACAGTCACTTCCTCAAACCAGACTTCCTTTATTTGTCCCACACACGGGACATGTACATTGTTAAAGCAACGTATAGATATAGAGACGAAATAAATACAACACTATTACTGTATATAAATGCATGCACATAGTATTTTTTTTATATAATGTCTTTATTACATTTTTCAAATACAACACAAAACAGAACAGCTCAGGCAACAACAAAATGAAGTTAGATAGTAATAATTATCAGAAATAAATAGACAAATACAGATGAATGTTGGCTGAAGGAGGAAACCCTCGTAATATAGAAGATACCTACATAGTATTTAGAATAGATATTATTACTAGAAGTACACAGTCAGGTAGATAAGTAAGTCGCAGTATTTATAAAATTGAAGTGTGGTATATAAGAGTAGTACAATTATTATTGCACATACAGATTCCTGTTGCATTAATAGATGGAATGACTAAGAGTAGCAGCCAGTAGTAACAATAATATTAGCAAGGAACATATTACACATAAGTGTTGTTGTTTTTTTACATGATTTCACATTGGCCTTTTACAGCAGTGGTGTCCGAGGTGTTGTGTGTGTGAGGGGGGGGGGGGTTCTACTAGGGCTGTGCAATTAATCGTATTTTAATCTTGATTACGATTTTGGCTTGCAACGATTACGAAAACAACGTAATCGAAATAAAACGATTATTATTTTTGTTTAAACTTTTTTTTTTTTTTTTTATAACTTTTTTAAAAAATTGGTTTTAATACATTTTCAGTTGAATTATATTAAAGTTCAGCGTAATCAACTGTTAAAAACATACTGTTCACATTTTTTTTTTCAATAAATGGATGTTTTCAAAGTAAATGGATAATCGTTTTTAATAATCGTGATATCAATTATTGACCAAAACTAATCGTGATTATGATTTTTGCCATAATCGCACAGCCCTAGGGTCTACCAGCGAATAGATTGTTAATAATCTTCTTCTATCTCTCCAGGTGCCTCTTTCGACAAGAGCTCCGTGACGTGGCTGAGTCTGGCTCGTGTTGCTGGTCTGTGTAACCGCGCTCAGTTCAAAGCGGGACAGGACGCCCTGCCCATCCTGAAGCGTGACGTGGCCGGAGACGCCTCAGAGTCCGCGCTGCTGAAGTGCATCGAGCTGTGCTGCGGCTCCGTGAGAGCCAACAGGGACAGGAATAAGAAGGTGGCCGAGATCCCCTTCAACTCCACCAACAAATACCAGGTACGAGACATTTCTATGATATTCTATTTTATTCTATTTACTTGCACTATTTGATCTGTGTTATTGTGTTGCACTGTTGGAGGAGCCTGCTGTGACCTAAGGTTTTCATTGTCATAACTACACTGTAGCTGTGTAGTTATGACAAGATTGAGTCAAAGAAAAACATTTAATACATAAAAGAAAATATACAAATTGCTAATTTATTCGTAATTATCTTTTATTCTCCGTCTCTTCTTGGCTGAAGCTATATAAAAAAACAATGATACAACAATAGTGACAGATTATCCAACGTTATTGCAAAAGTGTATTGATTAGAAAGCATTTGATGTAGTATATGAGATAATGCAATGAGGTGAATGAATCAATACAAATGTAGCATTGTACACACGCATACGATACGATATTACAATACCATACGATACGATATTACTTTATTTGTCAGATCAAGTCTGAAATTTGACTTGCGTCACAGCAGCTCCATGTCCAACATCAACAGACAAATATCCAGACACAAATTCAAATCATATATCATATCATTTAGCATAATCTCAATCTCAAACCAAAGTGCTGTACAGGCAATACATACAATATCAAATAACACAATGGGAGTACAATAATAAAACAATAATTAAAACATGATAAAAAAGCACAATAACTGTAAAAACGTTATGTTCAACTAGTATTAAGAGCCAGCGCAAAGAGGTGAGTTTTTAGCTGGGATTTAAAAAGTTCAATAGACTCAGCATCCCGGATATGCACTGGGAGGCATAGCATATGTGTGTGATCAAACAAAATGGTGTACAACAGTATTACAGATTAAAGACATGCATTCTTATGTTACAGTAAATGCTCAAACAGCCTATTCAATAGATCAAATGAACTTTCTGTGCTCCTTCTAGCTGTCAATACACGAGACTGAAGATACCAATGATAACCGCTACCTGCTGGTGATGAAGGGCGCCCCCGAGAGGATCCTGGACTGCTGCTCCACCATCATGGTGCAGGGCAAGGAGCAGCCCATGGACGAGGAGCTGAAGGAGTCTTTCCAGAACGCCTACATGGAGCTTGGAGGCCTCGGAGAGAGAGTGCTGGGTGAGGAGAGAGAGAGAACTGAGCCTAACCCTGAGGTTTAAAAAGATGCTATGACCCTCATTAATAGGCACAAAAACATTAGCAATCAAAACCAAATCCGCTTTTGTACACTCATCCAATTTCTCAACAGAAACATTCCAATTTACTTTCCATTTCAATTTGTTCCACTATCACGAAGAAAAACTGTCAACCAGAGATCATAGTGAAACTGAAGCTTACCCGACACGACGAAAACAACGGAAAGACCGGACGAGCCCCCAATTTACGAAAATAGGGATTTTATTTAGATTCTTTGATTGCCATACAACAGTGTTCTCTTGAGGTGTCTTCACTTATGTGAAACCCTTTATATATACAGTCTGTGTGAAACCCGTGCCTATTGCCAAGCACTGATGTTATATCTTTATATTTAAGGCCAAGCTCAAAGTAAAATCGATGAACCACTCCATTGTTGTGGTTTCTGTGTTGCCGTAGCAGCCGAACTGACCAGGATCTAACTAGAGATCTCGCAATACATTTTTATTTTATTTTTTCAAATTTACTTTTTTTTCTTCTCCATGTCCCCTAGGGGGCTCCGTAGTTTGTTGGTGGTCTTTGTTTTGTGTACGGTTTTTATTTTGAAAGACTTTTCGCAGCCCCAAATGAAACATTACATTACATTGCATTTAGCTGACGCTTTTATCCAAAGCGACTTACAATAAGTGCATTCGACCAGGAAGATACAAACTAGAAGAAAACAGAATCATAAGTACATCAGGTTTCATAGAGCCAAACATTTCAAGTGCTACTCAACTGGCTTTAGGTAAGCCAGTCCTTTGTTAGTATATACGTGCTTAGTTAGTATTTTATCGCTCTAAGTGGAGTCGAAAGAGATGAGTTTTCAGTCTGCGCTGGAAGGTGTGTAAGCTTTCTGCCGTCCTGATGTCAATGGGGAGCTCATTCCACCATCTTGGACATATTTTAGTATATATAAGCATTTCTTTTGGACAGGAGATTAACAATATGTAACTCAAAGGACAGTAGTGGCAGTAATATTAGTGTCCTTTATTAGCTTGAAAACCATATACATGCATTACAGGGAACTGCAAACACATTCCGTAATTTGCGACAGCTCAAGACCATCATATTTGTTGTTAGAGATCTGATGATAAAACCAGGGTTTATGGAAATGTCTGAAAATGGAAATGAGCTCTGTGTTTATTCCTCACAAATCAAACACTAAATCCCACATGTCTCCCCCCTCCAGGTTTCTGCCACACGATGCTCGCAGAGGATCAATACCCCAAGGGCTTCGCCTTCGACACGGATGATGTCAACTTCCAGACAGACCAGCTTTGCTTCATCGGCCTCATGTCCATGATCGACCCTCCCCGTGCTGCTGTGCCTGATGCTGTTGGAAAATGCCGATCGGCTGGAATCAAGGTGAGTTTTTGAACACGGCCAATATATCACTAAGCTGACGTTAACACATCCTACACAACTACAAACGCTTTTTATTTAAATAAAGGAAGTAAATACCGTCAGATAAATTACAATATAAAATCCAATATTTGAAGTTACGGTCTTTTATTATTTTAATTAGTTTTAAACTTTATTTTCCTTTTTCTTAAACAACACATACAGTTTCAATGACAAAAAAAACCCACGTGTGCAGGTTGTCCATTTTCTTAACCCCCCCCTACAGAATAAGACTTAATAGTACAAAAACACTTTAAAATGATAGACAAACAGATGGTTGAAATCACAAAACACTAAAACAAAACAACTGCAAACAATTCTGCACACACGTGAGCCATCTCTCAAACAAGATACTGTGAACCGTGCACGTTTCTCTGTATACTGAGCACATTTCTGCTTTCCAATGATTTGTTTGAATGTGTTTATGTATGCACCATTATACACAAAAGCAAATCCATGTTCATGTACTTGATACTGAATCTGATCTATATATTCCTGTGTTAAATAGGAAGGTCCTGCATCAGTTTGAGATTGTCTAATGTAATATGTGTTGCTCTCTTTAGGTCATCATGGTCACTGGAGATCACCCTATCACTGCCAAGGCCATTGCCAAGGGAGTGGGCATCATCTCCGAGGGCAACGAGACCGTGGAGGACATCGCAGCTCGTCTCAATATCCCCGTCAGCCAGGTCAACCCCAGGTAAAGAAACATCACAGAAAAACAAACGTGGAGTCGTACAGAGGATGATGGCAAATGAGCAGACTCACATCAACGCTTCACTCTGTGTTTTTAGGGATGCCAAAGCCTGTGTGATCCACGGCACAGACCTCAAAGATCTGTCTCAGGATCAGATGGACGACATCCTGAGGAACCACACAGAGATTGTATTCGCCAGGACGTCCCCTCAGCAGAAGCTCATCATCGTAGAGGGCTGCCAGCGACTGGTGAGAACATAGGAGTCAAATCTCTAACCCAAGTTGCTTTATGTTACTATAATCAAATCAAATGTTTATAAAGCATGATATTATTATATTGACTACATCCAGGGGCTATAAGTAACATTCTACTTTTACAACAGCAGAGGGCGCTAGTTAGTTATTGATTGAGGATTTCCTGACAGTGAGATATTGGAAAAAACAGTTGAATTAAATTGTAATTTTTTTCATTACAACTGATTATTTGAATACATCTGAATGTTGATATGTATTTAAAATACCATGTTTTAGATTAATTTGATTACATTGAATTAATTTAGTTAAATTGAAACATTTTAGATGTATTTCTTCATACCATATAAACGTCTATTCAGCTCTTGAAAACTTTGAGTATGTTTTTCAATCATGATTGTTTTATATAGACACCAAAACAGTTTCTTAAGTAGTGACTCATTTCACTTTTGACTAAAATCATTGTGGTCATATGAATCATAGATTTCTAAGATACATAGTTCTCATTTAAACTCAAACTACCACATGGTCAATGATGGATGAAATATAACTTCCTTTATATAACCTCCTCTCTGTCCTTCTTCTCTCCCAGGGTGCCATTGTGGCCGTGACAGGCGACGGTGTGAATGACTCTCCCGCTCTGAAAAAGGCCGACATCGGTGTTGCCATGGGTATCTCCGGCTCAGACGTGTCCAAACAGGCCGCTGACATGATCCTGTTGGACGACAACTTTGCCTCCATTGTGACAGGAGTGGAAGAAGGTGAGAAGACCCCGAGGACCTGAACATGAACGTGTGGTTTCACAGAGCCAAACCCTGTGACTGAGTTCCTGGTGTAACTTGTTTTGTTTTTCCTCCCTTCAGGTCGTTTGATCTTTGATAACCTGAAGAAGTCCATCGCCTACACCCTGACCAGCAACATCCCAGAGATCACCCCCTTCCTGCTGTTCATCTGCGCCAACATCCCCCTGCCCCTGGGAACCATCACCATCCTCTGCATTGACCTGGGAACTGACATGGTGAGAGCGGATTAAACACTCAATAAAAGCACGTTAAAAAGACAAAGACAGTATAAATTAATTGTGTAAAATAAGCATAAAATACAGTAATAGATTATTTAACATTACATTAAAGCAATGGTCCTAAAATGACAATATTAAAAAAAAGTGTGTAACTGCGACAGGCTATGCTAAAAGTTCACATGTCTCCCTCTCCCCTCAGGTGCCAGCCATCTCCTTGGCCTATGAGACCGCAGAGAGCGACATCATGAAGCGTCAGCCCAGGAACCCCTTCAGGGACAAGCTGGTGAACGAGAGGCTCATCAGCATCGCTTATGGACAAATTGGTGAGTGAAACAAAAATGGCTACTGTTATTACTTACTATTATTTTCTAGGCTTCCTGGTGTTTTCTCCCTTCTTTCTTACATTCATGTTAAAATAACTTATTTAAGGCACACGACAAGGCATGTTTCTTTGTTTTGACTTATTCTGCCTATAAAGAAATTCGTTTTGTGTTTTATAGATAACTTCATCTCTGGATATGTAACTTCATCTGTGTGTGTTTTCTCCTCAGGTATGATCCAGGCTGTTGCAGGCTTCTTCGCCTACTTTGTCATCTTGGCTGAAAATGGTTTCCTGCCCAGTCGACTAGTCGGCATCAGGCTCAACTGGGACGACCGCTCTGTCAACGACCTGGAAGACAGCTACGGGCAGCAATGGGTAAGGTTTTAGTTTGTTAAAGTGAGTTTTTGGGTGGTTTTATGACTTTATCTCATTGTGTTCCTGTACTCTCCTGCCCTCAGACATACGAGCAGAGGAAGATTGTGGAGTTCACCTGCCACACAGCCTTCTTCGTCAGTATCGTGGTGGTGCAATGGGCCGATGTGATCATCTGCAAGACCCGACGTAACTCTGTGTTCCAGCAGGGCATGAGGTATGTGTACTTGTAGAGTAACCCTCTTGAGATCTTGTTTTCTGACGGGGGTCCCAAACATACAGTCATCAGACAAATGGGAAAACAGAACAGTATAAGACGCAATATATAACACATTAACAAACCACTAGCAAACAATCACACCAAAAACGAACAAGGCTATCGAAAGAAAACATGTACAAACATCGATAAAACCCAATTTAAATAACGCTAAATATGATCAAACTATGAAGAAACGCAAGTGATAGCATTAATGAAAACAAAGGCAACTTGTTATATCAATAAATACTTATATGACATACTATATACATTTACAGCTACATTCCTTTACAACTGAGTGGCTTCACTTTTGTAGCCATTATCATAATGACACGCATCTCAATTTCCGCGTCACTTTTTTCTTTCTGCTCTTGAATATTTGCTGTGTTCTTCCCACTCAGGAACAAGATCTTGATCTTCGGCCTGTTTGAAGAGACAGCCCTGGCTGCCTTCCTGTCCTACTGCCCCGGCATGGATGTGGCACTCAGGATGTATCCTCTAAAGTGAGTGCCAGTACTACATTTACTTTACTTTGACACTAAGGGCGACTGTGGCTGCGACCAGAAGGTTGTGGGTTCGATCCCAGCCCGTGCAGCCAACATGTCGATGTATCCTTGAGCAAGATAGTTAACCCTGAGATGCTCCCGATGGCCAACGATGTGTGAATGTTAGTTCCTAGAGTAAGGTACACTGCTCTGTATGAATGGGTGAGCGACATGTAAAGCGCTTTGAGGGGTCTTAAAGACTGGATAAAGCGCTGTATAAGTACAGTCCATTTACCATCACGACATATTTTGTAATCTGTGATGTGTTTTAACCCTCGCTGTTCTCTTGTCTTGCTTACAGGCCTAGCTGGTGGTTCTGTGCGTTCCCCTATAGTTTCCTCATCTTTGTTTATGATGAAGTCAGAAAACTCCTCCTCCGTAGGAACCCCGGAGGTCAGTATCTTTTCTACTTCATATCCTCTTCATCCCTTTTTAAGCAGGTTCCTTTTAAAGGGCGTTGTGTTGGACTTTTACTTTGCTTATAGCTGTGACTTTATCAAAAACTCAACTATGAGACCCAAAGAAGTCTCTGCACCCGGCTAAGAAAATGTCCAGCTCCTGAAAAACTACAACACATAGTTTTAAAGCACGATTATGACATTTCTTTGGTTAATTAGTGAGTTTCAGAAGTGCTAGTAGGGATATGTTCTTATCTTTAGACTCTCCCAATATCAGATTAGCGAATATCGTAGCTACAATCATTCATAATTACAATATTATCTAGCTTTCCATCGATTTTAAATTCGAACATCATTTTTTAGGGGAATTAAGTAAAACCCCTCTCAAAATAGGATTTGAGATTTGTCTACAACATGATATCACTAAATGCATTTTTTGAATATCATCCTAAATCACTATTAACTGAACTTTTCTGTGTTTTTCTTTCTTCCTCTGATATCCAGGTTGGGTGGAAAGGGAGACATACTATTGATCGATGGAGCATCTCTGCTCAAACCCCCTACATCTCCACTTATTTCTCCCCCCCCTCCCCCCTGTCACTTCATCCCTGGCAAGACACACCTCCAGACGCCCCGCCCTCTTAAAGACAAAAAACGCTTTGAAGCAATTTTCATCACAACTGCCCCAAAGATTAAAAACAGCAAAAGCACCTTTTCAACTTTCTACATTGACCCTCCCCCCTCCCTTTCTGCCCCCCCCTCCTATGATACTCTTTGCATGTGTTCTCTCACTGCTGTGTACATAAACCAATATATCTACCAAACGGCAGCTGCATATTGTGTATGTAGATTTGAATGAGCTAAGGATACAAAGGGAGTGTCTACGCTCTGCAAAAAAGGGCCAACCAGCTCCTGCCCCTCCCTGTTCCTCCCCTGCTTTCTCCCCCCCCCCCCACCTTCGTCTGTCTCTATACCTTCGTCCCCCTCTCTCCTCGCCAACCCTTTGCTTGTCGTCCAATCACACACAGCTGTAAAGATCACACAGTGAGACCCCACCGCCGACCCCACCGCCGACACCACCTCGACTGCCACCTCCTGTCTGTGGAGGACCAGCAGGGGGGGGGTCACCTCCCTCCCTGTCCTCCCTCCTCACCCCCTCCATCCTCCCTCTCTTCCGTTCTCAACGGCCACCGTGTTGTTGTTTTTTTTAAATATGTGGGGTACGGGGGGATTTCGATGATTTCTTTTTTTATTTCCAAGACGGGAGGGGGGGTACGTGAGAGCTGCTTTTCCTCATTTAGGCCTAACAAAGCACACCCCACCCGTCTCCCCCCCTATGTCTCTCACAGCCCCCCCCTCCCCTCCCCTCCCCTCCCTCCCGCCCCGTTTGTCTCTGTTTGTGTGCACAGTGTGAACCATTGTCCTTGTTAATAACTATTACAGTACACCCCCCCCCCTCTCCCCTCCCCGCCCCAAGTTGGTGAATACAACTCAATCTTTCTGTGTGCTCTAGGAAATCTATATAATTCTATACTGAATTTAAATGAAACAATAAAAAAACACATGTTGAAAAACAGCTCAAGAGAGACATTCATGAAAAATAAGGAAAAAAAAGCTCGAGATATGTGTTTCTGTTTTTGGTTTCTGTTCTTTTCTGGCTGTTCCCCAGGGGGCTGTTCTAAAGCTGTAACAGCAGAGCAGAGTTTGAGGTTGTGTTTTTACCAAAAGACACAAGACACCAACCAAGGCTTTCAGGTTCCTGTCGCTGCAGGTATGATGTGGTGCAGTGTGCTGTGACGTGGTGAGTGGCGATGAGGAGACCATGCGCCTCGGGACTGTTACCGGGTTTGGGTCCAGCTGTGGTTTAGTCCAGGTCCTGGTGCGGCCCGGTCTGGCCCCGGTCTGTGTGCATGTTTGTGTTGGAGACCAGCGAAGGGCCAGCGGTCTCAGGCTGGGTCTATCTCAGATGGCAGCAAGAGATGAAAAATTCAAGAAGAAAAAAAAAAACACAACTAGTAGAACATGTGTGTCAAATAAATGAAACAAAACACCAATAAAACATCTAGAACATTTAATACAACCCAGACCTGTGTGCGTGTCTCTCTGTCTCTGTTTTTACTCGTGAAAAACTACACAGTACACACCATGTTTATCTGCCTACTACTTATAATCTTAATCACTCAAGGTTTCATATTATGATAAGGTAAAGGAATTTAAAGGCATCCATTACAATAGACATGAAATACTGCTACAGTATTTAAGCAAGTATGAACAAAAAAGGTGTTTATCACTTAGGTAACATCTAATTTATCTTATTGCGTGAGGCTGTATAAACGTCGAATTAATGTGTTAATGATTACAACCCCTTTGAACCCATGATCCTGGGATAACTTCCCACGTGAATCAATACCTAGTAGTGGCCATCGAGACGTTTGAGACGAATCCCGACGGGCCGTAGTGAAGTGGGCCGGTCGGACGATGTGGACCGGTCGGATATCACACTAGCACCCCACCCCCGTTGACAATTTAGTAGCGGTGCCGAAGTGGGCCGGTCGAGAGTCCCGGGCTGATTAAATATCTTTGATTGTAATACCACATCCGACTTTCTATTATTTCAACACATAAATCCAATATGAGGTTGTATTATCTGACATTTTAATCCCACTAAGGTGTAAATGTGTTGGTGTCCATCACACACAGCAGGAAATATGAGGATGGGATGCCACCTAGTGTTGTGAATGTATACGCACTTCAACGTGCAAACTGCATGATGTTAAAGGAGGAAGAGTTGGCAGCAGCCCAGGGTAATGCACCAAATCCTCTGTGTCAGCTGCGTCTGACATTACCATCCATAAGCTCTTATTGATAGTCTTACCAAGGGAACAATGTCTCCAAACTCATCTTCCCATACTATAAGAAATAGAAAATTAGTCATGTGTTCAGAAAGCAACATATTTGATTAATAAAAGCGATTTTCCAAAGGTTCCTGCAAATAAAGCAAGGCAATATCTTAATGTTAAGGGAGCAGGCTACCACTGTTCCACAAGGGTCATCTATTCTAAATGAACCTCTTATTGCCTGACTTGTACACAAATGAATATACACAACATAGAGCTCTATAATGTGATGATGATAATGATGATGATGATATGGTGTGTGTGAGAGGTCACTTTGCCACATCCTGTCAGCATTTAGGACATGTAAGTGAGAAGAAGCAAAAACTTTCTGGCACCGCTTTGCCCAATGACAAGTGCAGTGTCTCCTGCTAACACATGCACACACACATGCACACACATACACTTTCTGTCACTCTCCCTGACAAACACACTCACACCCTCTCTCTAATTTCCCCTGTGTCTCTGCAGTGAGCTCGCTGCAGTGCGACTCCCCCCCCCCCCCCCCTCGCCACCCTCCGTATAATAGAATATCGATCGCCTTTGCCGCAGTGTGTAAGCGAGTGTGTCTGTGGACGAGTGTGTGTCTGACTGGGGCCCACCAAGGTCATTGCCATGGCAACCTGAGCAAGGGGTCCTTGTACTGTGCTGTCACAGGTCACAGGGGTCACGTGGAAAGGGGGGACAGGAGGGGGGCCACAGGGGGGATGAGAGGGGGATTGTGGGCGCTGCAATGTGTGCTGGAGATATAGAAGAGCCACCAGGGTTGAAACTGTTCAGTGTGTTCAGACCCGAGCAGAATAATAAGAAATGTACAGACTGAGTGCTAAGGGTCACTGAGTTTACAACTTCTGTAATAGGTACACAAGGCAAGGCAAGTTTATTTATATAGCACCTTTCAACACAAGGCAATTCAAAGTGCTTTACAAAAAATGAAAGACATTAAGAAAATGGCATTTAAAATCAGTCATTAAAAAGAAAAGATAATACAATAAACATTAAAAACATCACAAAGTGAATACAACAAACCATGTGAGTTGATTGAAGGCAAAATAACAAGAAGCAGATATGAAGCTTTCTTTCCATTAAGGGTTTATTGCAGTTATGAAAATGCAATTTAAATACAAAAAACACCCATTTTTACATAGAAATGTAAACCAATGAATAACAGATTTAAAAAAAGAAATATTTCAGGTAAGGAAACCTGACCTGAATGCTGATACAAATGCATAGTCACAAAGATACCATATGATCAGCCGATGCAAGACAACATTATTATGTACTGACCTTTAAAGATGTATTTTCAGCAACCTGTCTATGTTAAGTACCGTATCTGAGATTTGCTTTTGATCCCCCTGAATAAAGCAATAACTTTGTATATGATCATCATCAAAGACATTTTTTTTTTAAAGCTTTACATTGCACTTTTCCTTTGGAAAATCTATATTTCTTTAGCTGTTTAGAATGGAAACATTGCATTTAGTGTATCTTTAAATAAAGAAGCAGCAAACTTGTCAGATGGGTTGGATATAGAAGATATTCCTGAAGCTATCTACAGCACAGACAATTCTATTTTCTTTTTTCTTCAAATTAAACCCTTATTGTTATATATTTATGCATTATTATTGGAAACTGTACATTACTACTACTTGAATTGAAAATGAAAGATATGAATGTGCGACATTATGGCGAGCGAGATGGTATTTGACACAAACCAGAGGCATCCAAGGTATAACATATGTAGAGAAAGGCATATAATCTGTATGATAATGAGCCTAAATACGACAAATTACAATGTGTGCATTTGGCCAGTTATGTGTATGAATGCGTCTGCATAAATGTCAATGCAGTCTGTAACATCAACTACTTTATAGGCAAGACAAGGTGCATTCTAATACAGGGAATACATAGTGAGGATCAGATGTGGGAGCAGTCCTTCCTCCACCCGTGAGTGATGGAGGAGCGGCTCCTCCTCTTCACACCGGCTCCATCAGCAGCTCCTCCATGTCCGATCCCTCCAGCTCCCTGAACGCAGCGTGAGAGCCGATCACAAACAGCGTCGCTCCTGAAGGGAGACGGGACAAAGTGAAAAGAGGAATGTGAAGGGGAAAATAGCAGGAAGATTCTTGTTAGACAGAGAATGTCCATATTAACAATTCAATTAAGGTAATTAACTGACTATGATGTTTGGTAAAAACAACCTAAAACCCTGCTCTGCTGGAAAAACAGCCAAAAAATGTCAGAAACCAAAACGAAAAACAACTATAATACGGGGACTTTCAGTATTTTATTCCAGGGTACAACATTTAATTTTACATAATTATATTCTACATGACAAATTGAAAAGCGGAATGTGATGGGAAAAATAGCAGGAAGATTCTTGTTAGACAGAGAATGTCCATATTAACAATTACATGAAGGTAATTAATTGACACTATAACACTGAGACTTTGATTATTTTATTCAACAGTACAGCATGTCATTTTACATTATTCTATTCTACATGTAGCTAGTTTACTTACCCGTTTGCACTATTTTATGTCTTTTGATCTTCTATGTCCTAAATATTTAGAATGTTGCATCTCTGCATTGTTAGAGCCTGGGACTACACTGATATTGTGCATATGACAATAAAGTCTTTCATTTTTTCATTGAATGTAACGGTGTAATATGATTGGATACTAGAACAATATTACACAAAACTTTGAATTCCAATAAATATTCCTGCATGCCCAGAAAATAACGAATGACAAGACCAGCTAATGTAGTTTATCTCACCCAGAACCCAAAACACTGCGGCTCCGGCTCCAGCCAACCAGAACACAGGAAGGGAAACGGCTCCAGCGAGACCCATCTGGTGAGGGACGGTCAGCTGCTTGCCTGGTAGACAAAAGAAATACAGATTTAGCCACATCAAAATACTGCCGTTAATAACAAATATCTATGTGATACCTTATTTTCTTATACTAGCTAGCACAAGACATGCATTTCATCTAGTACTAAATAAATGTAGTCATTCACCTGCCTGTTTAAAATTGTGCTGATGATTAAGGAGCACTTCATGTCCCTTTTAAAATATATTGAAAAAGCATTTTTGGTCGATGCGTTTGTTCTAAAATGTTGACTGAAATTAATTCTGAAAAGAGTACCTGTTTTTGTGCATTTTACCTTTATTTCTATTGCATATTAACTGCTCACTATTTGTAATGTTTGACTGTTATTTTGTCGTGACAATGCTTATGCTGCTCGTCTGAGCCAGGTCACTCTTAATCTGAATCTTGATTTACCTAGTTAAGTCAAATATATACACACACACATATATATATAAATATGTATAGGATATATATAGGAAAACATGTGGCACTTGACAAATTGCAACAACAAAAAATACAGTAACAACATCAAGTGTATATTTCCAAAACAAATATTTTAAATATTTGATATAATCTGGGAAGGGTGTTTTAGCAAACACTCACAAACGCTGAGGTTCATTTTAGAATATTGCTCCAATTAGCCTGGCAATGTTGAGAATTCAGCATATGAGGCAGTTACATAATTAACAGACTGCAGCTCAAAGCACACCTGACAGCTTTACTCACCGAGAATAACCAGTTTGGACTCCAGAGACTTGAGGTGGATGATGTAGAAGGCACCGACGAACACAGCCAAGGCAATCAGAAGCATGGGGGAGCTGATACTGAGGAGAGGGAACAGAAACATACAAATACATTCAGTGTTACTTACAGCAGCATTTTTTTGATTTGTATCGTACATGTTTTGTGTATTTAAAATTCCAATCTAATCCCACGCATATTGTTTTGTTTCTCGTTTCCAATATACCCTGTGACCTGGACTTTTCGAGTAAATTCCTGTGTGTATTGGACGCAGAGTGTGTGAGAAAGAGCTGAGTAAACATTCCCACAGACAAATCAACACTAATGATTTTTCATTGGCCTTACATGCAGTAGAGGATGAGACCCAGGAAGATGAAGGTGTAGTTGCTGTTGAAAGTCTCCACGTTTTTCACCATCCTCTGACACATCTCTCCAAAGTTGCGGGGTTTGGAAAACTTGCGTTGATCCACGAAGCCGGTCCAAGGGCGAATGGACAGCCGACGCCTGTCGATCCACTCTTTAGCCATACTGATCGAGAAGCCTTTAGGGAGCCAGAGCCTATAACATTGGAA